TGAAAATCATACTAAATAATGTTTATTGTATATCAAAATTTACAATATTTCGTGTGCCAAACAGTAATTATTATCATGGAATCCATATGAACAATTCTTACCGCCATGTATATATTTATACATAAGACAAGTTTCATAGGGAGAAGTTTAGTTGAACAAAAAATACTTGTTTAATTAGAACAAAGGAAATAATTTAATGGATGAGAGTCATAATATTTTAATTCATTAAGTATTTCTATATTGTAAAATATAACAAAAATGCCAAAGCATAATGAAGTTACACTAGTTTAAATACACAACAGTACTTTTTACAAAATTTTGTATGCTATTGTATGTCAATGTATTATTGTAAGACAAGTACAGAATAACTTCGAATTTATGCATTTAGAATATTGCATTTAATAATTGAAACAATCATGCAATAAACGTTGTTTTTGATACTTTCGATAAGTACCGCATTTTTTGTACACGTAACATACACGAATGAGCGAGAATATGTGAAATTTCTGTATTTTGAACTATTTGTAAAACGTGTTTTGTTACTTGTTCGAATGTATACAAAAAATAATTCAGAGTGGATACTTTAATATTAATAGAAGAATTGAATTTTCTATTTTATATATCTTTTACTTTGACCAGTAATTAATATTTCTATGCATTTCTGAGTGCGTTTTTTAAAAATAAGGGAATCAATACTGTATTTCACGTTTTTTGAATTGGCTTTAAATGTACAATAAGTGAAACAAAAGGGAAAGTTCCTGTGACATGTACGGCTTTCTTTTGTATCCTTGTATTTTTAATATATTATAATTACAGTGCAAAAGTCGAATCGTTTTATAAGAGATAATATAGTATGTTATCATGTTTTTATAACTAGTCTGCTAATACGAATGTTAAAAAATAAAGATGAAATCGTAGAATATAAATTATTATGTGTGCGACCACTATGCATGTATGTAGTTATCTAAGATTCTTTGTATAGAGCCTCAATTAAAACAAAAATTACATGCATTAGTCCAACCAATACACAAATCTACATTTATATGAAAAGTATATGTTATTTATTATGAAAAACCTGATTAATATAAAAAACTGCGAAAGGAATCTGTGTGTTATTTAATTTAAGCGTTTTTACTCGTTCAATAACGTTACATTGCAATGTATCTTATAAATGTAAATAGATTTTTTACACTAATATTTCTTATAAAACATAGCTGATCTTGTATTTTTCGATTTTTAAAACTGCTACATCAGTCGTATCAATAAATCAGATTTCAAATTTCTAATGAAATACAAAAGTTCAATTTGTTATTGTTCAAATTATGAATTCGAAATAGTTACTTAATCTCCCAGAAGATGTCACTTTTGTGCCTTTCCCGCGATCTTCGATATTGTGCGTACTTAGTAATTCGCTGATTGTCAGTTGGTATTGTAAGAAGTCACGGGAGAATTTAAAAGTGCCGGTTCAATTTTTTAGTTATATTATTATAAATTAGTATTAAATTGACGAAACTGTGACTACCGAGTGATTAGCGGTTAGAAGTTAAAAGGAAGAAGAAATGTGACAGGTACTTTTAAGTTCGCTTGAAATTTATATCGCTTTAGAGAGAGAGAAGGAAAAATCGATTGGTCCCGTCTCACAACGAAAACCTTCCAGAGCGTAAATCAGTCGGACTTACAGTTCGAATTTTATTGTAGTAGATTGTGATTTGATAACTTCACTTTTTCTTTTAACGTAACTATTGATAACAGTTTGAATAGTTTAACTGCGTTGAAACGTTAGTTTTACATTGGAGAACATTTACCAAAAGATAAACCGATACTTAGGTGTCATCACTGTATGCCTGTATCACATTCAATCACGTGACAATACATCCGTCATTTTAATTTCTAATAATTCAAATCGCACATCGCATGGAATACGATGTTTGATTTCGCTTTTCTTTTCAAGACATAAATAAACATATGAATATTTTTTTCTTTTATTTCACAACAAATAACGAAGGAATACTGTGGCGTTTGTATTGAGTCTTTTATATTTTCTGACCATTTAAAAGCGTGTCTATTGAATATAGTGT